AGGGGGGAGGAGGAGGAGGAGGAGGGACGGGTCCTCTAATTAGTTCATCTCACCCGGTCGTCCCATCGCTGTTTCGTCGCCGCTTCATGGCTTGTGGACACTAGTTGTCACTGTCTCATCACTGGTTGGCGACGTAATAGGAGGTGTGCGAATGGATGTCGAGTTGGTTTCTGGCTGCAGGAGCCTTAGAGCCGCTACAAACGCCTTCTGCGAACATGAGATCGGGTAAATTAGCCGTATAGCGACTGCCTCGGCCGTCGCAAGTATTCGCTGACGCAGGAACTTGCTAGATTTCGCCGGCACTTTATACACGACCCGAAACGCTTGGTTTACGTCTACTGTCAACCAAGTGAACCAAAATCACGCTAGATATTGACTTTACCTCGCCTCTCTTTGGCCAAGCAGGATGGTGTTCTCGCATGCGCTTGGACAGCCACCTGGCTGTTCAACCAATAGAATCTGCCTCACAGGGGCATGTGAAGGCTTAGATGAGAAGTCTGACATACCGGGCGCTCTCCCGAGACGCTTGAGAGACAGCCAATGGACGGGATAAGTCAAACCTGCCAAGGACTGAGGGTCCGACTACGAGGGTTCCAACATAATGTGTGTCCTAGGGCATTCTCCAGTGGTAAACTTGGAGCAGAGATCAGATCGAGTGTGTGGTGCGGGTAGATGGGCTGTCCAACTTTGTCAGCCACTGTTCAACTTCGGTCGTCTGTATACTGGGCGGAGACAGCACAACACATCATATGCACAAACGGGTTTCCACTGCTGCTTACTGCTCATGTCTCTGATGAAGAATCTGCGGTGGATGTCGAAACCTCCGGCGAATGAAAATGTGGTTCCAGCAATTGAATCTTCTTCTCAGATCATATGCACGTCTGCCCCATTTTCTAAAAAAACAAAACAAAGGAATATCAAACTGTAATGCAAACGTGAAATAAGATGCCCTCACTAAAATTGCAACACTCGCCAATCCAATATAACATTCACGGATGAGCCATACCTCTCGCAAGTGTGTCGTTCAGCGGCAGAATGCCGACGAAACACGTGTCTGGGCCTTTTATATTGTACCTGTGCTGCAAATATGGTTTGTCTTGCCAACCTGATAAAACTTATTGCGTACATTAAATATAGCAATAAGAGTTATTTTACACTTCTTGCTGCTCTTAAGAGAGAGAAAAATACTTTATTTTGAAGGTAATTGCCAACATTTTTAGCAAACAATGACTCCATTCACGGAGAACAAGGGATAAAGTGGGGCAAAAAGTCATAGAATACTCAAAGTTAAAG